GTTTTTTTGCACGATCTCCAATCTGGCTCGGGACGGAGTTGTGGATTTTTGTGGCAAATACCGCCCATTAGGGAGCGCCTCGCCCTTTTTGCTATCTTCCCTATTTCGTGCGCCACCTAATTGCTGACCCTTGTCACGTTTCATCTCTGGGCTGCTTTGGAACCAAGTTTTTTTTTTGTCTGTGACGCAGCTCATTTTGAAAGCATGCCCTATCCGCTGTGGGGCTGTGAGGTGGATGGTGAGGCTAAGCATGGGTCATGTGTGCTCTGTACATCCTGTCCCATGCCCTACCCATCCCGAACCTAGCCCGACCTCTCCAAGTTGATTCACAAGTAAGAACCAATTTCCAGACAAACAGCGTGGCGAATTGTGCACTTCGCGTCTTCGAGACGCGATAGGAGTGGCTACGTACTTTGTTCGACCATAGGGAGGGGTGGGGCGGCAAGGAGGTGGGTTAGTATGGGTTTATCTGAGACCAGTTTGGCTGACGCGCACTACTGCGCGCATGGTCAAACCTATGGTACTGACCACTGACAGGATTTCTGTGCTGACCGCTAACACTTGGCCTAATTCCCATGTCTTGGAATACAGCCCATTTCATCATATTTCTTCTTTTTATTGGCCAATGTCTGGTGCTTATCACATTAATAAGAACACCCACCATTCGCTGGAAATAGGACGGCTTAGCGGTTGAAAGAAGCTCTGGTAACAATATCGAAATCTTAGTGAAAGTTGTTGCGCTCCCACTGAGCAGCTTTAACTATCCGTGTGCTGGTGGCTATTATCATTCCTCACTGACAAACATCTTTCACTAAGATTTCGATATTGTTACCAGAGCTTCTTTCAACCGCTAAGCCGTCCTATTTCCAGCGAATGGTGGGTGTTCTTATTAATGTGATAAGCACCAGACATTGGCCAATAAAAAGAAGAAACATGATGAAATGGGCTGTATTCCAAGACATGTGAATTAGGCCAAGTGTTAGCGGTCAGTACAGAAATAAGAAC